AGGAGTGGCTGGTGGGTTTGAACCTCCAGCCTTCTGGTTAGCAGTCAAGTGCCTTAGGCACTATGCTACCAGAGCTCCCTTTCTTCTGTAGTATTATCTTATTTTTAACACTTATTTTACAGTTCTTTTAGTGGGTGATCAGGTTGTTTGAGGGAGAGCTAGGTGAGGGATACCAGAAAGAAATTTTAGTTTGACATGAGTGAAACAAAAACAACGAGAGCTGCAGTTAGTTTAACTTTTCTGTCCTCACCCTAGCCACAGTGCACACTTCCCTTGGCCATGACCATTCATCACGGGGGACTTGGTTGCTTAGACTGAGAGCCAGAGAGAATGTCTGTTGCATAGCCATATTCATTACAGAGTATTGTGACTGTGGTCCCTCCATGGGGACCAGAAATAGCTTTGTTTATCCAAGCTGCTCTTTGTGGTGCTCCTTTGTGAAACGGTTCCTGCAATCTGATGAAGAGCATTTAATTTGTTGCAAATGCAATGGTGAAACTTAATGCTCAAACCTTTCATCAGTTTAAAGTCATTTTAAAAGTCTAGCCTCTTTATTAAGAATACACTCTGCGTTTCATTTTATTCACCACAGAGCATCTTCTCATGATTTAAGCTAATTTTGTTGTGATAAACATACAACCTGAAATCCTGATAAACTCATCATTGTGACTCACACCAGTCAGAAAAGGCTGGGACTAAAATTTACAAGATTCTTAGGGCTGCTCATTCCCTCAGGGACACAGATAGCTTCTCAGCCTAAGAGTTGGCAGGTAGAATTTCATGCAAAGAAACAATGATGCATCCCTGGGTAAAGGGACTATGTAGCATTTGTCCCACATGATCAGAGTGTTAATCGGTTTTATGTCAGGGACAGCAACTTTTTCATTCAGGCTTATTCTTAGCCTTCAATTGCACCATTGAATACATAATATTACTTAAAGGACCTATCTCTGTGATGGCTATTAATTTAACATATTGTCATAGTCTCCAGAGCACTGCCTCCAACTACTTTTCTGGCAAATATTCTGGTTTTTGTTGTTCTAGACACCTTCAAAGCACATATGTCATTCAGTAGCTATACCTCCCTAAGACTGAGCCAAAGTCTTGGTTTCTCTAAATGTAGTTTTATAAGTAAGTACAGCAAAAAAAACTAACTCACTATCGTCAAGTTGGATCTGACTCATAGCGACTCCTTTGGTTTCCGAGGTGGTATCACTATAGAAGTAGATTGTCCAGTCTTGCTTCTGAGGAGTGGCTGGTGGGTTGGTGGTTTTGTTTGTCTAAATATAGCAAGCACTTATTAAAATTTTTAAAAAATTAGTGTCAGCTGGGCATTGTTGATTATAATAACCAAAACTAATTGAGAATTTATGATCTGTCAGGCATTGTGCTAATCACGTTATAGTCATTAGTTCATTGATTCTTTTCTGAGATGGGACAGCTATTATTCTGATTTTCCACCGAGTAATGAGATGGTTAAGTGGTCAGCTGCCAGTGAAAAGGTTGGTGGTTGACTGCTAACCAGAAGGCTGGCAGGTTAAACCCACCAGCTACTCCTCGGAAGGAACATAAAGGCACATAACAACAACAACAACACAACAGTGATTCCTTAGGAAAAAGACTGGCGATCCGCTCCTGTAAAGACTGTTGTTTGTTGTTGATGTTATATGCCATCGAGTCGGCCGTGACTCATAGCAACCCCTCCTTGGGTTTCCGAGGCAGTATCACTACGGAAATAGAATTGCCCAACCTTCCTTCCGAGGAGTGGTGGGTTTGAACTTAGGCACTATCTATCTTAGGCACTATGCTACCAGAGCTCCTCCTATAAAGATTACAGCACAGCAAACCCCTTTAAGACAGTTCTACTCTGTCTATCAGTTGGAATAAGCCTGATGGCACAAACCACAACACACATAAGAATATTGAGGCAACCAGAGACCTAAAGCCACCAACTAATAAGTGGTAAATGCAGATGGGAACGAGCTTTCCTTGACATCATAGCCTACTCCTGAATTCCTGGACCTCACAGGCTCCTGGTCAACATCAGGGATGACTTTGGAAGAAATTGAATTGTGAAAAGATGGAAAATGTGATCCTAAAGCAGAAAGAATGGAGAACAAATATGTGTTAACTGATAAACTGGATGAGGAACCAAAAAAAAACCTCACTGCTGTTGAATAGAATCTGACTCACAGTGACCCCTCCTTGGGTTTCTGAGGCAGTATCACTACGGAAGTAGATTGCCCA